AAAAAACAACAAAAAAACACAACCCAAACCAAACCAACATTCGTCCAAACAACAACCACTATCCCCCTTTAAAAACTCAGAAACTGATCACTCACACAAATACTCACCCAAAGATTTGCTCAAAATCTTTTATCAGAAACCTCCACAAGACCCGGAAGAGAAAGGCAAACGCCTGGAACGTGCTTTCCAGCGCCTCAACATCCTGAGACCTCGAGGTCAATGTCGCCACAAGGAGGTGAAAGAATTCGGAGAAATGCGGGACGAAATCTTGCTGAAGATCGCGCGCTAGTTGAACCAACAGACTGTGGACAAAGGGCACAAGCATGTCTGTAACTGCACTAGCTAGCGCAGTGGTTGGTTAACAAGCTCTTTTGACAAAACACTTCACACTATTTTGACTGCTCAGTGTACAACTCTGTCACACTTTACTTTTCAAAATGGCTTTTGGTGGAGTCTTACACTAAGCAGTCGATTTGCAAGGTTTTGTGACAAGATGGGTACCAACATTTGCCCCCCCCCAGCCCTCTTACATTGCTAGCAGAACCTTTCACTTTTATAGAATATTTTATCACAAAATGTGTAGTAACAAATTATTTTATACCATTTCAGTCCACTGTTTTTACTTTAACAGCATTCAGATTTGTAAACAGTTCACCACACGGACTGATTTTCAGTAAACAGTTCACCAAAAGGAGTGACTTTTTGTAAACCAGTTCATTAAAAAGGCAAAGGGTTTGTAAACGGTTTGACAAAAAGATGAACTATTTGTAAAGCTAAAAAATGCAAGAACAATTGCATTGCTGTTGCACACAAACATGTGCCCACTTACTCAAGCAGAGCATTCAAGGCAAGTGAATTCTTCACAGCCAAATGTGACTTCAACGATGAGATGATTTCCTCCTGAAAAATAAATACAGTACGACATCTTTACCAATTCAGATAACAATGACAACACTTCGCATATCTAAATAATGTCTATCTCATCAGGAAAGTAGGCTCTATACCCTTTACAATGAATATTACCACCGACAGATCCCATAACATTCTGAAACATTTTCAGCTTTCTGGGAAGCATTCAGCGCAAGCTGCCATTTCACAGGTACTCAAATACCAATATACTGAAAATATCTTAGCTGAGTTCCCATTCTCACCAGCGTGCCATGAAGAAAATTTATGTCATTATCTCAAATGACAGGGTGTCAGGAAGTGACTATATTTTAGAATAAAACAACAACCAAAAACAACAAAACAAAGCATAAACAACTATTTGCTTCAAACTTGATAAGGTAACATATAAATAAGGATCCCTTCACTGTAATGTGAATTTAAAAAATATTAATCCAAAAATCATATTACAATTTAAAAAAAAATTTTTTTAAAGAAGAGAGAAACATTTAAATCAACTCAAAGAAGAAAATCAAAAAAAAAAAAGTGCCAGAAACCAGTTTAAAAGACAACAGGGAAGAAAGAGTTACAGTCGTGACACACTGCACCACACTTGCAATATTTTAGTCCACGATGGAATGTGCATGTCACCAGTGTGATCCCCATGTCAGTGAAACAAAATTGCTAAATAATACATTACAACTACAACCTGTAAGAACATCCATATAAAGAGAGGATAATTTTTTTTTTGGGGGGGGGGGGGAAATAAGTATCCACAGAGTCATTCTCCCAATAATGAGACCTACAGCAGTGAATGTAACTGAGATAGCTGATAAATGGCAAAAACACGCAGCAGTGAGATAACAGGTGATCATAACATTTGTTTTAGTAAGCATTTTACAGCACTTGCAACACAATAAGGTCATATAAGTGCCAGATTAGAGGTGTTACAAGAGAGTAAAAAACAAAAAAGAAACACGAGAAATATGGACAATAGATGTTTGTTTGATAATGCACTGATCAGAACAAAGATAGATAAGAGATAAAAAGAAAAACTTGCGACAGTAAGACTTTTTACTTTTGGTAGAGGTTTTACAGCTCACACAACTGCATACGGTCATATGAGTGCCAAGGGGCGGATGTCAACAGAGAAATCTTTACAGGGAATCAGGCTTACTTTGCTCACCACTCTAGCTTTCTGCTTCGACCATCAAGGCACCCTGGAAATAAGGGGTCACAAGAGTGTGACAAACAGAGAAAAAAAGTAGAGGAGAAAATGATGATAGTAAAGATTAGGAAAGAAAAAGCAGCAATTCCCTGTTGCAGTTCAGGCACAGTTATGAACATGACATTGTTGAATCAGCCCATTTACAATTCTAGGATGAGACTTTATGGTGACCATAAACTAATAAGAGATACAAACAAGAAAATCTAAGATAACTAGGACAGCAGACAAGATATGAGACAGTGAGGAAAGAAAGTAACACTGTACCTTGTGGTGGACCAGCTGCTCAAATGTCTGAACCTGACCAGAGATCTCTCTGCGGAAACTCGCTGCAAGGAGGAAGGAAATAATATACATTTGACTAAAAGTGTGACTGCTCTCCTACACAATAAGGTCAAATAAGTGTCGAAATTTAGAGGTGTTACAAGAGAATAACAAACACGCACAAACAAAAAAGGAGAGGTAAGGCAGGATGATAGATGTTTGATAGAAAAGAAGGGGTAAACCACACTAGAGCGCCCTCCAACCACCAACTAATAACATTAACTGCTGAAAACCCCCCAAAAAACAACCTAAACAGACATTGCTGACAGAACCACAACAAGGAGCATTATTATCTTGTTTGAGTAGAAATCTCAGATCTGGTTTTCAAGTATAATACTTTCAGTAAGAGAGCAAGGAGAGCGTAGAAAAGGTGGGGCCCTATTTAGTACTAAAGCGGATTTGTAATAGCTACTGTTTCATCGTTAGCAAAGTCAAATCAACAATGAATAAATATAAGTTGACTTGACGCCCACATTCTTAAAATGAGTTAAAAGCATAGTTTGCACATGACATCACACTAACTTATATGTGGCCCCCACAGCCAGCGGAGACCTCGGATGTGAAAAGTTGGTTAAACTAAGCTGTGATGAATGTACAGCTCAAGCAGACTTTTACCGTAAAACTTAGACCTTGACCTGTTTACCAAGACAAGTCCATGGTTCAACTGATTGTCACTTTGCTGATTTTTAAAGAGACGACAGACAGTTGTTGCTAAGTTCTGTATTTGAAATGTTCATATCTTCGCAAAGATGGGGTTAAAAACTAACTCGTGACTACATTTACTAAACAATTTATAAGACAATCAGTTCCTAGCGTAACTGAAAAACCAGACAAGTCACAAATTCGGTCATAGCTTTTTTAAAGGGCTAAATTGAAAGTTAAAACTCATGAAAAAAGTCATGCTTTGCTGCATTCCCATATTTCTCATGTCAAGAAGTGCCAAAAAACTTAAGCCTTTCACAGTGAAGAAAAAGAAAATCATGGAAATATCAGTGATAACCTCCACACCCTCATAAAAGAATTGCCATTCTCTTACTGAAGTGATCTGTGAGGTCAAGGTCTGTCCATTTTGACAAAGCTTCTCCAAAGTATGTCCCTGCCTCTCCCTGAAAGTAAAGAGATATATATAATATATGAGCACAACATAAGCAAGGAAAACAATAATGACTTAAGCTTTACTTCAGTATACGATAGAAGTTGGATTTCCATTTCTAAATTGTGATTAGAAAGACAAGTTGTTTTTTTATCAGAAGGACTACGTTCGAAACCACAAATCACTTTACATAAACCACATGTTATGAACGAAAAGAAATACCTTCAGAATGCACACAAAGACAGACAGATATAAAAAAAACAACAACAGCAACCCGGAATTGCATTGCAGCACAGGTGCTAGCACACAGAGCAGCCTGTAAAATTGACATTTTTCCCTTGACAGAGGCTGTCAAAAACAAGGCACTTTAATGGACACAAACCATACAACTTCTGATTTACCATTTGGACTAATTTAATACACCATTTTCAGTCGAAAAAAATCAACGGGAACCATCAACAAGTACATTCTGACAATATCAAGCATTTAAGTTTATATTTCATTAGGTCTCTTTCTAGGTTAGTAAGAAGTAAGTAAATTACATGAAAACCATAGAAACTATAAAGACATGTTATGGCATGACCATGAATTTTAGCTAAATATATATACAGCTTAAGTAGACTTTATTTTCTATCACTTTGATGGTCACGACAATTAGAACACAAAAGCAGTCTATCATACTGGTCAACATAGCAACTTCAATACAAAGTCTGTCTCACCTGATCATCATGGACTTTGCGTATAAGATGGATCACGTCAACATTCACATTGGAGATGCGCTCCGAAAACGATATGAACTGAAACATTCAAAATGAGAGAGGTCACTTTTACTTTCACAACAAAAGAGGTAAATGAGTAAATAAGTCTCCTAACAAAGACAAGACTGGCCTCTTTTCTTCTAAACAGAAATTTAAGAAACAGACAACTTTATTTCACAAACAAAAGAGACAATTTTACTTCAATGCACACACAATCATATTATCAAAACATGCTCATGCAATATATAATATATTATACAGACTATCATATCAAAATAGAGGACTTCCCAACAAGTACAGGTGTCTTGCATAACTTAGGTTGTGTATTTCAATGTCTGCGCTGTTCTATGTTTAACCTTCACATTATTTTTAAAAACCCAAACAACCTCCGAACTAATTCCAGATTTCAGCCTGTGGAAGAAAGAACATCTGTCAAAATAATGCCTGGCCGTCAGCATTTACATATATATATATCCTTAAAAAAAACACACAAAAAAACCCCCAACTCAAGGACAAACTGAAAGTGGGCAGATACCCAGAGACAGAGTTGGAAGAACAAGGAGAGGGGGAACACAGAATGCAGGGGCGGAAAACGTGACCAAAACAATATCATTAGCCTACTACAGGATTATTGATCTTGAAAATAGCACACAGAACTTTGATCGCATAATGTTTCCAACAAGTTATAACTATTTCGATTGCATAAATATTAAACATGCACCTGATGGCCTCTGCCAAAGTGTGCTATATGCACAGGGCTCTCATCAAATCCAAAATTCGTTTTCCAGTACTTATTTATTGGTATCTCATGACTCATGTCATGCAATGAGTCAAACCATTTCCCCCTCTACCTCAAAGTCTTGACCCGCTGATGAATAAACATGTATCAGGCAAAAAAAGAGTGAATGAACTTTGGTAATTTCTCTCCATCGGCCTGTTTATCAATCACACCGAAACCATCACTCTAAGATGTCCAGAGAATCATATTCATATTATCAAGACCACCACCAGCAGTAAACAGTTAAAGGAAAAAACCCCCCAACAACACAGACATCACTACATTTCACAGATAATGGTAGAATTATAATAAATTGGTCAGATAGGCCCACATCAAAGTGATTATTGGGAGTTGACTCCCTATAATCATTTGACATTATAAGGAACCGACTCCCATTAATCAATTGATGCTGTTACGAGTCAGAGATTACATCTGACATATTAATAACAAAGTTACGGTGGTTTGCGCATTTTTAGGGGTAAGGTTAGGGGCAGGGTCAGGGATTGGGTCTCTTCTTTACTGTTTATTGAGGGGTAGGGGTAGGGATAGGGATTAGTCTCTTGTCTATTGTGTTTGTTAGGTGGTCGCTTGTTACAGGAGTCCTTCTTATTATTGTGAGACAGTATATTGGGGGGGGGAGGAGGCGGGAGGAGGAGGAGAGAATTTTAAAAATGTTTGTGATTATAAGTCAGTGATTGGTTTGAGAGTGATAAGGGCAGTTTTCTTTTCTTTTAGGGTAGTTGTGGGAGGGGGCTTGCCCATCCTGATCAGTCGTAGTCTTTCTTGGAGGTAAGTTTTAGGGTTAGGTTTTTTTTTCTTCTGTTCAAAACAGGTGCGAAATGAAATGGATTTTCGTAACACGAGCACATTAAAAAACAAAACAAAGGTAGACAAAGGAGAAAGGAAGAGGCTAGCCGTACTTATTCTTAATATGATGGCTAGACTGACCATTAAAAAAAATAGGCCTACTGAATTGTAAATACAGTAGTCTCCGCCTAAGATCGCGGTGCTCGGGAGCAAAGAAATGCGGGATCTTAGACGAACCGGGATCTTAACCGACGATCCCAGGGAAGTATCTATGGGAACCCATGTTAAGGCTTACAATCGGTAAAATGGTCTCCCTCCACCCTAAAATGAACTGACGTGACCCCTTGGTTGGTTTGTGAGGTATGGAGAGCAATGAGTGGTTAACCTTGATGGCCTATCACAGTGCATAGTGCCATGAGTCGTGCCATTTTCACGTATTATCCTATCATGAGTCTCAAGATCTACGCTTATTCAGTTGCCCCTCCCCCTTACCTGTAGAAAATTTATAGCTTTCCATCTCAGACCGAGCTAACCCCCTCCCCAAACGCCTTTGTCGTTACACACCATTACGTCGTGAACACACCAATTAAAATTCAGTCTGTCTAGCAAATTCTGGCTTAGAGACAACTGCTGCAATCAACGCCTACTGCAATGGTCAGGGAAGAGTTCACGGTTCGATGTGATCCCGCCTGGAACGAACGTGTAGGCCCTTTCCACCCAGCGAGTGATGTAAGTTTAGGGGGGGAGCTCAGGTGTGAGTGTGATGCGTGGGGAAAACAAACGCGTCGGTCAGTTCACATCCCGGTGTGATCCCGTCGGGGGCAAACATTGTGTCGCTTCATCCAGTTTTACAGTGTGTATGTGATCACATTCACGATAGTGGCTGATCTTTGACGCGACGGACAGTTTATTGATCTCAACTTTTCACTCTTGGTTGATCGGCTGTGCCTGCCCGAGTTTTTGTTCCGCAAATTATGATCTGAAATGCGGGATCTTAGCCGAATGTAGACCTCCAGAGTGAATCAGAGCGGGATCTTAGGGGTGACTTTTGTATAGCAAAAATTCTGTTTTCTTAAAACAGCGGGATCTTAAGCGAACCGGGATCGTAAGCGGTGGGATCTTAGGCGGAGACTACTGTATATATTTTTAGTTTGCAGTACCTGAAGTATTTGTATTTGAGACTAAACCAGGTGCTTTAAAAAACAACAACAATGACAGTGCATGTATTTTAAACATCCTGTTTTCCAATGTTAATAGGGCCTAAGATAAGTACTTAAGGACGGCTAGACTGTCAGGCTAGCCGTACTTAATATTGATGGCTGAATTGTAAATGAAATTTTTAGTTTGCAATGCCTAAAGTATTTGAATTTCAGACAAAACCAAAAGGTGCCTTACTGACTTGCATGATGTATTTGAACCTCAATAATTACTAGATCTAGATCTAATGAGACCTGTGTACTTTACAGGTTTGAGTCGATAGGGCCAAACCTAGATCTAAGTACGGCTAGACTGCCAGTCTAGCCATACTTAACTACGAAGGAGAAAGCCAGGCTAGTCCACAGTGGCAACTCACGGAAGTCCTCCCTTTATGCAAATGAGATAAGCGATTCAGAAATTTACTTTTGTTTATTTTTTTCAAATAGCTCATTGAATCAGCTTTTGTATTTTTGTTAAAGAACCTCGACAAAACCCTTCGAGGTAAAAAATAATTGCGTTTTTCCAATAACCAGTTGACATTATGGGAAGTCAACTCCCAATAACCAGTTGACATTATGGGGAATCGACTCCCAATAACACCTTCCGGCCAACTAAGACAACTGAACAGTACTGTTAAGCACAGAGTACAGTCAATTAATAGTGCAGACAGTTGAAGAAGTTAACTTAAGACTTAAGATTTAGAAATCCACGGTGACCTATGTTCAAGCACACAACTGGTAAAATGGCCTCCCGTTACTCAAAAATAAACTGATGAGACCCCGGGGAGGATTTATGACATCTCTCTTGCCCTTTTAACTCCCAGTGAAGCCTGTTCAGTGCATCCTTTTCTAGCTGTTTCCATGATATCCCTGCCTTTTTGGATTTCCATTTCCGCTTGTACCGCTCACCTCCATGTCATCTTTAGTCTTCCTTTCTTAGGTTTTCTTTGTGGATTCCACATCAAAGCCTGTCTGATGATGCTTGTCGGAGGTTCCTCAGGGTGTGCCCAATCCATTTCCATTTCTTCACCTGTATTTCTTTCTTTATTGGCCTTTGGCTTGTTCTTCTTTCCCACAGTTGAGCATTTGTGACTCGATCGTACCACTTGATCCCCACTCCTTCTTAGACATCCATTTTTATGTCAAAGCTCTGCAGTTTCCTTGCTGCTGATGCTTTGAGCCTCCATGTCTCTGCACCATCCAGTAGAACAGTCTTCACGTTTGTTTTAAAGATCCTCATCTTGGTGTTCAATGCCAGTTCCTTAGACATCCATATATATTCCTGAGGATGATGAATGCGGCTCTTGCCTTTTGGATTCTGATCTTATGTCTTCGTCTGTTCCCCCTGCCTTGTTGATGACACTTCCCAGGTAGGTGAAGGATTCAACATCCGCCAATGGTGCCCCTTGCAGTGTGATGGGAACGTCGGCTGCACTCATTCGAACAACTTTCGTATTATCCGTGTGAATATGGAGTCCAACACTATGGGAGAAGGTCCTGAGGCAATCTGTCTTCTGTTGCATCTGGGCCCTGGGCGCAACTGTGAGAAAGAAGTGCCATGTCGTCGGCAAAGTCCAAGTCTTCCAACTGACTGGAAAGGGTTTACTGAATGCCACCGCATTGTCCCAATATCGTCTGTCTCATTATTCAATCCACTGCTAATTAAAAAGAAAAAAGGCGATAGCAGGCATCCCTGTCTCACTCCTGTTTTCACTTCAAACGAGCCTGTCCACTACCCTCCAAGTAAGACACTGCAGCTCATTCCCTCACACATCTTCTTGATCAATCTCAGGAACTTGTCAGGTACTCCGTAGTAGCGCATGCATGAGTTTCATAATGAGTCCCTATCTAGGCTGTCAAAAGCTTTCTCGTAGTCAACAAAGTTTTAACGTATAGGGAAGAGTTCTACTCTTCGGACTGCTCAACTATTATCCTCAAAGTTGCAATCTGATTTGTACATGATCTCTTTTTACAAAATCCTGCCTGCTCCTCTCTTAGTTTTACATTCACGCCTTCCTTCAGTCTTTCCAGTATGGTACGACTTAAAAAATCTTCCCAGGAATGGACAGGAGAGCATCATGATTCCTCTGTCATTTTTACGCTCATGCAGGTCTCCTTTCTTGGGTGGTTTTACAAGCAATCGAGTATTACATTAGTAGGAAGCCTATCTAGAATCTAGTATCTAGATCTAGAGTAAGAGCCAAGAGTAGTCTTGCGTAGAGACGACAACAGGACAGTTCGAGTTATCGTCGTGATAGTTAATAAGGGAGGACTTCCGTAACGAGCGACCACTATGAGACAGAGCAGGATTGAGGGGAGGACTTCCATAACGAGCGACCACTATGAGACAGAGCAGAATTGAGGGCTTGGGGTAGGGGTAGGGTTAGGTCTAGGCCCCTTCTAATCTTTATCGTGTTTGATGGGGTGGTCGCTCGTTACGGAAGTCCTTCCGGATTGAGGGCTAGGGGTAGGAGTAGGGGTAGGGATAGGGTTAGGGTTTGGGTTAGGTTTAGGCCTCTTCTTTATTGTGTTTGAATAGTTTGATGGGGGTGATCGCTCGTTACGAAAGTCCTTCCATTATCATTAATAATGATAGTTAAGAAATATTATACAGGCTATAGGGAGTACTTCCTAGATCTAGATATAGATCTAATAATATTAGATCTAGATAATAGATAGCATTTGTATAGCGCAAACCCTCGCTCAACAACAAGCTCTATATATGCCTCTTCACAATCTATACTAGATCTAATCTAGAATAGATCTAATCTAGAATCAGTTACTGACTGTCGGTTACCCCGGCCCCGGCAGACCTGAGGCCCTGAGGCTGAGGAGAGCATTCCGAAACAATTTCAACTTCCAGTCTACTTACGTGATGAACATTTTGAGTTTTGTGCTTTGAAGATTTTCCCATTTTCGTACACTCTAGACATGTATTATAAATGCGATACTAAAACAGCGCACACATTTCGAGGGAGGTAAATCCAACAACAAGCGTGATGTGTAGGAACTCAGAACGCATGGCATACTGTAAACAGCAGCTTTCGGTTTCAAACTTCCGGTAAGTAATATCAGGGATCAACCATTGTGTAGTAACTGAACTGCACTCTCAATATTTTTGTCTCTTAAATGTAAACTTGACTCCCATATTTAAAATTTAACCGTGAAATAAGTGTAAAACACTATTTTTGGGCTGATCAATGATATCCTTAATGCAAACAACATCTTTTCTCTCCCAGCCCAGAGCAGGGAGGTTTCATTAATCTCCCAGTGAACCTGGAGCAATTTTCCGGTTATAATTTTTTTAAAGCTTCAATAACAACACTGTAAACAATGTTGGCATAGCTCAAGTCTATCTACATAATCAATGAAACGGCTTGTCCTGTCAGGTTGATAAATTTGTGTAAGTTCTTATCAAAATAAATGCATTGTCACTTTATGTCTAAAGCTTTTGTTCGAACAATTCTAAACGATCCATACTCGGGCATTTGAGAGCCATTATAGTTTACAGGTATTATGTCCATATCTTGTCACTTGTGTCAAAGTCAAGCGCCGTTGATGTCGTTTAATCATTTCAGTGGCTAGCCGTACTATAGACCGAGAGTCTAGGCTAGACTGCCAGTCTAGCCGTACTTAGATCTAGGTTTGGCCCTATCGACTCAAGCCTGTTCAGTACACAGGTCTCATTAGACCTGGTTCAATAGGGAAGATTGAAGAATATCGGCATCGGACCACTCATACATTATTGCGCGAGAAAGTGGGGCGGGTTGTTTGGGTGGAGGAGGGGGGAGGGGGGGTTCAGGGGGGTCTCCCCCCTGACAAATTTTTAATAAATAGATCTAGATCTACCGGTCCGAGATTCTCCATTGAGAGATATTAAAAACGGGAAAATTTTATGAATTCCTAAGGTAGAGACATAGACAAAGTCAGTCCGCTGGTCCGGTATTCTTCAATCTTACCTTCAAATACATGTAAGTCAGTAAGGCACCTTTTGGTTTTGTCTGAAATACAAATACTTTAGGCTTTGCAAACAAAAAAATTCATTTACAATTCAGCCATCAATATTAAGTACGGCTAGTATCTTAGGTCCTATTAACATTAGAAAACAGGAGGTTTAAAATACATGCACTGTCATTAAGGCACCTGGTTTCGTCTCAAATACAAATACTTTAGGTACTGCAAACTAAAAATGTATATTTACAATTCAGTATAGGCCTATTTTTTTTTTAAATGGTCAGTCTAGCCATCATATTAAGAATAAGTACGGCTAGACTGTCTAGCCGACATTAAGTAAGGCTAGCCTCTTCCTTTCATTATTATTATCACATAAATTAGATCTAGAGTCTAGATCTAGACTAGATCTAGAATCTAGATTTAATAGTTTCTTGAAAGTCGAAATTTATTCTCTGAACTGTTTTTAAATTTTTTTCGAGGTGTTCCCCACACTCTAAACAGATTCAAACAAAATTAAAATAATAAACCAGCTTTTTTTCGTTCTTACAGCACCACGATCCGACCTTCTGCTTCTACTCGCTTCTAATTTTGGCCATGTTATAAATGTGTGATTAAAAAAAATTTGACTTCCACATCCTAATGCCAAACTACATTATAGGCCTACATTTGACTGAGTAGTGGAATGGCAAAGGCAGGTGACTTTAATTGTGATCTTGAAGCAGGGATGCCTGGGCAGGAGGGACGTTCAGCGGTTTGGCCTCATGAGAAAATATTAAAGGCCCTTATAAATTAGTAAATGTGCTGGTAATAGCGAAGTACTACAATGTTAATTATAGTACTTATAGTATTGGTCAAAACAGGAACTGACCACCCAACATGCATCTTATGTGAAGAAAGACTCTAAGACTCTTCAGTGTAGTTCATTTATTATCAACGGTAGATGATGACTTCATCTGTGAACATGGATTAACAGGGACAATGAATGATACAGGTACGACATAACAAGAAATAATATGGGGTACACCACATAACGTACAGAGAACATGAACTAATAATATCATATATAACAAATAACCATACATCCCCCCCAAGTTCATGGCATGTTCAGATCTTTCCTCCCCCCCCCCCTTGGTTTTCTCCCCCCCTGCTCCTCAGGTTTGACCGCTTCCTGTAACCCCTCTTTATTGTTTGGAAGAAGGCGTTTCAGGGCTGCGGAAAGACTTTTCTTTGCCTCCTGAGGTGCTTCTGGGGGATGGGGCTGAGGGGAAGGGCTTGGAGCAATTCTTTAAATTGCTCCTCATTGACTGGCTCAGTTGGAAACTTTTGTCCCGTATGGATCTCCTCCAAAGGCAGAGTAACCTCAAAGTCATTTGGGCTGTTACGTGCTAGTGCGGGTTGTATGGTTGAAGTGGCAGGCTGGAACTGGCGAAGGCAGCGCCGGTTTCTTGACGTCAGCCGTCCTGAACCATCAATCGTTGACCACGTATTGGTCATTGGGGCCGGTTTCAACAACTAATCCTGTTCGGTCCCATCTTTTAGGGTTATTGCCAGTCTGGTTCTGGACAAAACATCTGTCCCCAATGGACATCTTGGGCAGGTTTCTTGAGTGCTCGTTGAGCTTCTCTGATGTTTTTACAAACCTTGTCCGTAGCGCAGTTTCCTTGGCTGCCCATGCCTCTCTTCAAGTGGGTGGTATGGCTTTATTACAAAATTTTTCAAGCCTATTCACAAAAGAGAATATATGTCTCTGATCGGACGCCCGAAGACTAACTCAGCAGGTGAAAGCTTGCAATCAGGGTCTGGGGTGTTCCTAAGTTGCAGAAGGGCTTTCAGGAATTTGTTGCTGTCGAGGCTTCCTGAGGGGTTGATGTTTGATCTGAGTAGGTGCTTGGCCGATTTGACCGCTACTTCAGCACGCCCATTGGATTGTGGGTGGTATGCGCACGATTTCCTATGGTGTACACCCCATGTGGACAGGAAATTCTTTGTCTGGCTGGCAGTGAATTCAGGGCCGCCGTCTGATGACAACTCCTCTGGTACCCCAAATGTGGCAAAGAATTTCCGTAGACAGGCTATAAGGCCTCTTGCTCCAGCATGGGCACTTCCTGTGGTGGTGGAATAAACCTCAGGCCACCCAGACAGACGGTCACCGATCACCAGATAGTGGTGGCCTCCACAGTCAAAGAAGTCTGCAAAGACTTTCTCGAATGAGGTTTAGGGTGGGTGGGCAGGGTTTGAAGGAAGTTGGGCTTGAGACAGTGCATTTTTGTTGCAATCCGTGCATCTGGCTCGAACATGCTGTATGTCATTAGTCATTCCTGGCCAGAACACAGTGGACTGAGCCAGTATCTCCATTGATGAGACTCCTTGGTGAGCAGCGTGAAGACCCTCAGTAATGGTCTTCCTTAGGGACAATGGTATGACAACTCTATCTCTGTAGAGGATGACACCATCCAAGACGTATAGGGACTCGCGATATCCCGCATACTCACTCAATTCTGGCCTTCCCATTCTCAATCATTTGATGATATAAGGGCACTGAGTTGGGCTGAGAGTACGCTGTCTTTTTGGGTTTCTGTGACTATGCGGTCCGATGATATGGTGGTCACATCTACCACATCACCGCGAATGGATGCTGCGATCATGCTTTCTGACATGTCTGCAATGGAGAGTGTGTTGTTCGCGTATGGTGAGGGGTATCTTGACATTGCATCAGCAACGCTGTTTGTGACCCCTGGCATATGCTGGATGCGGAAGTACCACGGTAACATTCGCTGCTTCAAACGAAAGAGCCGTGTGTTTGATATCTCATCCAACATCCTGTCCCCAAAGATTTTCTTCAAGGGTTTGTGGTCTGTGACTATCAACAAGTCCTAGCAGCCTTGGGTGAAATACCTGGTCTGCTCCAGACC